AGGCAATCACTGGCCTGGTCTCCCCAAACTGCCAATGGATGCAGCAGTTGGGGAGAAGGGCAAGGCAGGGCACTGAAGGCCCAAGATCTTCTCCTCCAGTGATGTGTCATCAAAGGGGTCAGAATGGAGCAGGGGCTTAGGCAGGTTGCCCCTGCTTGTGACACTTGCAGGGGTGTGGCCTGGGTACCAGGGAACCAAAAACTGGAACAGCTCCCACATAAAGGCTATGGTCTTAACCAGAACGATAATTGTAGTTGGTCATGGTTATCCACTGTGCCCACAAGGCCTTGACCTTAATTTGGCACTGCCATGCTGACTGGGAAGGCCCTCACTCCAGCATGCTGCCTGACAGGGACTCATAAATGTGGGTGTTCCAGTACTTGCTCCACTCACACTGCCCAAGCACCTTGGCACCCTCCTAGATTACCTTGGGGTCGCCAACCTCCTCCTGGGTCCAGTTAGAGTCCTGGGCAGTCAGCATCGGTGTGCACACATGGACAGAGATGAGGCTCAGTGGCAAGGATGGTGAGGACATGATGTCCCACGCCAGCTATCTGGGGCCCTGCACAGCTGTCCCTATGATGTTGGCCCTGGACAGCTGCTAGCTGCACCCAGTGCAGGGGCACAGCCATGGACTAGAAGCCACGCAGCAAAGGCAGTTCACCACAGGACCTGCAAGAACGAAAGACACTGATGGGTGTGAGCAACAGCAGGGAGCAGGTGCTGGCCCTGCTACCAGAGACAGCAAGCCAGCAGCCTTGGGGGGATATCCGGGCTGGGCAGGGGGTGCAGAAAGCTGCAGCCCATTGTAACACTCACCTGTGGCCAAGCAGCAGCTCTGGAGAGGGACAGACCAGGCAAAGGCAGCTTTTGTTTTTGCCCACATGAGGCCTGCAGTGATCCTGAGGATTGAACAGGACCTACGAGGCTTTTATGTGGTATACCCCAAAGCATAAAATGGCTGAAAGATTTTATAGTTTTAAGCTAGGGGGCTAGCAGACAGCAGCCCAGCCCTGGGACAGGAGAGACTCCCAGCCAGGAGCCTTGGGGCTGGGCTCAAGCCAGCCCCCTACTGGTAGGGCAGACACAGCACTAAAGTTGGTGCCATGTCACATTTACACATACATTACTGTGCATTAACTAATCATGACTAAATTTGACACCTGCATTTGCAGGTGTCAAATTTAGTCACCATTAGCCATTTTTACTGAACTGTATACAAATGTCAAAAAAACCAGAACTTATGCATTTAGAAACTATCCATTGAAGTGTATATAGGATTCTGTCCTAAGAGTTTAAGAACTAATTTGCAGAGGAGAGATACAAAAGGGAGTTGGAACAGTCAACATGGATACAAATAATAGAACATAAAGAAGGCAAGTATAATGAAGGTACTATCAGCCTAAGGACAAGAACAACAGTGACATCAAAATCATTAGGGATATGAAAGGACAATAAAATCAATTTCAGGGCTAACTGGCAGCCTGTGGGCTGCAAGCAGCACCCAAGGTGCTAACCTGTGGCTCCTGACCTCCTTGTAGGGGTATTGCTCCCCCATCACTCTGCTGCTGCCAGAGTCTCTGAGTTCTCCCTCCTCCGGTTTCTGCTTCCTGCCACAACCCTGAGGGTGAGGCAGGGTGGTGTGGCCTGTGGGGTGAAGGGAGCCCACAGCCAGAAGACTGGGGGTAGGAGGGGACCTAGGGATGCATACAGCATGGTAGGGGGTTGGGGCGGGGGTGGCACATGGTGTGACCCACACAGCGTATGTGGCCCAGAGGGACATAAAGCTCCTGGCTACTCAGAAGTCAGACAGTCCTGATCTACTGGATGAGTAATAGTGGGCAAGTTCAATGGTCTGAATGTTTCCCTGGTTCACAAACAACCCCCTCTTGCAACAGCTCATTCTGCAGCCCACAAAATAAATGGTTTGTTCAGAAATCTAGTGCACTTGCACCAATGAGTGAAGCAGGGAATGGACACCTAACAACTTGTTTGAACAGTTTTAGTTTGTCTGATGATATACACAAGATGAAACTGTCTTGAACATTTGAGGAAAAGGGCATACTTAATTCTGTTTGCTAACAGGAGCCCTTTATGTAAGGCACTGAACAGAGTCTGGCCATACATGTCCTGTGAACTACATGCAGCCATGTAGTCATGGACAAGCCATGACTCATTTCATGTATACAGTATTTTTATTGTACTTAGGGAATAAGTAACAGCAAGGCAGAGAATAGTGAAGGTGAAACAGAGTCAGAGGTGGAAGTATCAATAAAGAGATGATCGATTAGTTCCAGTAACTAAATTATAGTAAATCATCAGGCCTGCATGGCATTCATCCAAGGGAGTTTAAAGAACTAAGGAATGAAGTAGCTGAGCTACTAACAAAAATATTGCATGTAATTTATCATTAAAAGCAACTACTAGACCAGAGGACTGGAATGTAGCCAACACTGTATCAATCTTTGCAAGAGGGACTAATGGTTCTCTGAGGAATTACAGACCCTCACCACAGTACCAGGAAAAAGTAGCTGCAAAGATCCTTACAGAGGGAAAGTTATAAAACATCTTGATGAATTTAATGAGAGGAACAAACCAGCCTGAGTTTTGCAAGGGAAAATCATTTGATCCTAAAGTGTTAGGATTTGTTGAAAGTGGTAACAAAGTAAGAATTAAAGGAGAACCTGTGGATATGTTAGATTCTCAAAGGCTTCTTTTTCGTAATAGCCCCAAGAGACTATTAACCCTTACAACATAAAGACAAGAACTTGCTTTTGGTATTTGTTTTAGTTAGCTGCACTGAGGGACTGGAGCGCATAATCATCTCTTGATTTTTTATTTTCATAAATAGATAAACACAGACGTGTTTGTCTTATCTTGATGCCTATTCTTATCTCAATATGTTAGGAAACATTTGGCCTGATTTCGCTATTGGTTATATCAGTATATATTAGGAGTAAGCATCAAAGTAAAAACTGTCTAAGTGAGATTAGATTCAAGCCAATACTCAGTGTAGATAAATTCCCCACACACTGCAACGGAACTAACTTGCTGCAGCCACTATGTTGTTTTTCCTCATGTTTAATTTCTGTGTTTCTATCAAGCAGTTGTTTATCACACAATTTTTAACAGCCCTGAAGTACACAGTGTTCCATCACTTATAGTAAGTAAGAGTTATTGATCTCTTTGGTTCCCATTAAATGCTGGTAAGTCGACTAGTTTGCACAGTGCAGCCTATTTACAAGATTCAGGATGAGACACTTCAGTTTACTAGAGAAAATGACTTTTTTTGTTTTTCCAGGGGGCAACTATGGTGCATGTAATACAGTTAACATACCATGTTTGCATGCCCTTAAAATCAGTTTATAACCGCACTGAGTGCTTGTAAACATTAAACATGTTTTATAAGTAGCTGGCTAACTAGCAGGGGTGTGCTGTAAATGCAGTGGTAAATAAAACAATAAGATTTCAAACATCAGCTATATTTCACAATGTAAAATGCTTTTTCAGCCACACAGTAATTCTAAATGTTAAAAACATTGATTTTTTTTTTTAAGTACTGTGTGACTAAAGTTCACATCCCATTCTTTTATGGTACTTGCTCCTAAATCACTCTCATGTGTTTCATCTGATTATACTTGTATAACAGGTGAACAATCTTTTCTTCTGACTTGGAAGAGAGATTCTTTTAAACTATAATTTTGTTTGATGTCCTGTTAAATGCAGTGATATCATACAATGCCCCAGGATTTGCTTAGGGCTGGTGTATGTTCTGAACTTTTAAGTACATAATATTGTCACCCAGGGGTCCAATTAAAATTTTTGTAACATTTTTGTAACAGCCAAAAGGCTTCCTCCTCCTCTAGGCACAGCATTACTAGCAAAAAAAGGGTCCTTCTGTTGATATACCGTATGCAATTTGAAGATTCTGGATAAGTAATGCTAGCAAAAGCACTTCTGAGCCATAGAAGCTGCATTTATACAGAGTTGCTGGTGTAGCTATGCCAGCTAATCTTTCCTAGGGTACCCTGAAGATAGTGAAGAGTCACTCTGTGTTGGGTGATGGCTATACAATTGTACTGCATGCTATGGGGCAACATAACCTAATTTCTATTTACATTACAACAGAGGCTAACAGAAACTGCAGCCTTTCTGTTTATTGAAAACCTAGATGAAGATTTCTTTCTAGGGTTTATAAATCTGTATCTGTAGTGGGGAGGGAATAAGAAACAGTACAAAAAATAGAAATTTGGCTTTTAAAATTGTTTTTATCATAATTTGTCCAAGCAAAATGTTGTTACTGGTGAATATCAAGGGATATAGGCTGTTCAGGAGGGACAGGATAGGAAGGAAAGGTGGGGGCGTGGC